TTAGAAGCAAAATGACAACATGTCACATACTTTAATCAGTAAGTTTTGTGGTTTATGAATTTAGATGCTAGCACAACTAAAACAATATTCAAACTGGTAGTGACAATCCTAGAATTGGGTCTGGGGATGTACCTTAGTGGCTGAACACTTGCCTAGCATACGCAAGGCCCCAAGTTTAATCTCATGTATTGCCAAAAACAAACAAACAAAAATAACAACAAAAACCCCAAAGAAACGAAAAGAAAATCCTAAGATCAATTCCTGACTTCCTTATTTTACTGGTCATTTAGCTTTATCATGTCTTTGAGCTTTAGTTTCCTCACATGGAAAACAAAGCTGAGATTGAATAATTGCCAAAGGTTCTTTTAACAACTTACAATAATTAAAAATATCATGATCCTTTATAGTATAGGTATAAGAAACAATGTTATGATGTCCATACTGATAATTCCTTACCAAAAAAGAAATGCACCATATTAAATCTGTCACAAAAAAACCTGCAATGTTTAGGTTTTAAGTAAATTTCTGAATTTGAAGGGCATTATTTTATCTAGAAAATTTGGAACATTTTCTATTGGTAGCAAATGTTCAGTGTATAATCATCAACCCCAGTTAGAAAAGTTTAATGCCCCTTTTTCTTCTCCTATGAGATATTTTACCATATATGCATATATATAAATGTGTATGTGAATACACATAAATATGCAACACAATATATTTGTTCTAAGAACTTATTTTTACCTGTTTTCTCCTTCTGCCTACTGTTGTCTATCACATAACCTTCACAGATGTATTTGGCAGGCAGACAAAAAAAAAAAAAAAAAAAAAAGCCTGTGGCAGTTTCAAGTCCACTTCACAACTTACTACAACTTCCAATTAAAACTTTATATAAAGGACAAGAGACCAAAATAGTAGAATCAACAGTAAGTGAACTGGTTATATGTACAGATAATTTAAAATATTCAAATACTCTCATATCAATATATAGATAAGATTCTTTTTATTAATTCAACAAATGTTTACTTCCTATCTATGATGGTTTGTTGCCAGTGATACAATAAACAGCAATGATGTTAAGTGTTTCTGACCTCATGTAAACAATAGATGCTAATGAAAGAATCACTCAAGTATAAAACTGTAATCATGTTAAGAATGTAATATATTTTATATTTTTCAGAATTCAAAAGGTTAGGGAAAAGAACCTGATGAATCATTAGTTTTTGTTTTAAGAGTCCAAATAAAAGAAATCCTTAATTTCTCTTGATACTAATGATAAAACTCTATAACACCAAAATTCTAAAAGAAGATTCAAATCAATTATAGACAGTTAACTTCACACAAACTGTATTATAATTTTTGAATTAAAAACTGCTTTGAAAATACATCCAACAGCTTAACTACAGAAAGTTGACTTGATCTGAATCTATGTGTCATTCTGTATATTGAAACACTAAATGGAAGACTTTCAAACCTTCATATATTCCCAAGTTCATTAACAATCTAGAGGATTGTGGCTTTCACTTCCATATGATCTCTAAGTCTCAAGTAAGTCCTATCAGATTCATAATAATACATGCTAACCATGTTTTCAAAGCTCACTAAAGGGTTTCCCCTGCCACCCACTTCATGAATCATTTTCCATTACTTGGGAACACTGACAATTTTCCAATGCTAAATTTCACATTCCTCTCATTCCTTTATTCGAAACTTTGTTTGTCAGAATAAAAACCATCATCTTTTTAGGCATTTTCATTTTCAGTAGTAGGACTAGTGCTATTTTTCATAAAGACATATAATTTATCACTAAAGAAGAGTTCCTGCTTGTAATCATCTCAGTAAGTCAAATTTGATTTGACTTTCAAAAACCAGATCAGGTCAATTATCCATCTATATGCTTTTCTCATGAACTAGACTAAACATTCCATGTAGCTGAATTCTTCATTCAACAAAACTGGAGAGGAACACATTCATGAATGAACACTCAAAATCATAAATGTCAATAGTCTAGGATACTCTAAATGTTAATCAAGTATGATATTAGCCAAAAGTCCTTAATTTCAAAATGGCAAAAAAATTAAACATTATGACAAAGCTTAAAAATAACTTTGAAAGAACTTCTAATGACAAAAAAACATTCCAGTGCATACAAACCTTTGAAACCATCAGGATAGACTTCAGAGAGAAATTTAGTGCTGATGTCTCCTTTTACAAAGCGCGAGTTGATTATCACCTCTCGAAGTAATGCAATATTATGTGTAACACCTAAAAATAAAATAGTATCAGACTGAATTGGAGAACAATGAGTAAGTTAAATATCTAACTGTGATTAGAGTGAAGAAACTTATCAGTATCGCATGACCTGTGAAAAATCACTCAGGATTACTTATCTCTTTAACTTCAAGTAACAATAATAAATATCTGAATGTGAGGTATTATAAAACATTAAATATAACCTGGCTTTTACTGCCAGGTTAATTCAAAAATGGCTTGTCAATAAATGGTACTAGAGCAAATAGAAAAAGAAGAAAAGGCAAGGTGCTGGTGGCTCACACCGTAATCCTAGCTACTCAGGAAGCAGAGATCAGGAAGCTCATGGTTTGAAGCCAGCCCAAGCAAATAGTTTGTGAGACCCTATCTTGGAAAAACCCTTCACAAAAAAGGGCTGGTGGAATGGCTCAAGGTGAAGGCCCTGAGTTCAAGCCCTAGTACAAAAAAAAAAAAAGAAGAAGAAGAAGAAAGGGGAGGAAGGGAAGGGAAGGGAGGGAAGGGAGGGGAGGGGAGGGGAGGGAGGAAGGAAGAAAATGAACCTCAACTCCAACTCACATCCGACAGGGATAAAATTAATTCAAAATGAATTGCAAACGTGAACATAAAACCTAAAACTATCTTAAGAATTATAGAAGAAAATAGGAAAGGAAGAAATTTTTGCTACCTTGAGTTACACAAGAGATTCTAAGCTTACACACAAAAAGCATGAAGCATAAAAATACCAACATATTGTACTTCATCAAAATGTACAGGTCTGCTCATCAAAAGATAGTTTTAAAAAGAAGAAATGGCAAGTCACAAACTGAAAGAAAATAATCGCAACACATATATCAGACAAGAAACTTATACCTGGAATATATAAACAACACTTGTAACAATTATAACACAACAAACAAAACAAGTTTTTTAAAAGATGGGAAGATACCTAAATAGATATTCAGAAAATGCCAGTAAGCTCAAGAAAGATGTTCAAAATCATCACTGTCAAAGAAAGGAAATGAGATGCCACTATATGCCAATTTACATGCCTAAACATTCAGGTGGATAATGCCAAGTGTGGGCAGGGGAAGAAACAAATGGAAAATTCTGTAGTAACATACTGAAATGGCATATCCAATTTGGAACAGGTTGGCAGTTTCAAACACTTAAACATATGTTCATCATATGATTCAGACAATTCATACATAAGTATTTGCCCAAGTTAAATGAAAATATGCCTGCATAAAGATTTATACATAAAAGTAAACAGTGACTTTACTCACAATAAAATCAAAACCTAGAAACAAGGTAAACATCTATCATCAAGTGAATAAATCAATGACTGTGGTTTGTCCACACACGGAATTCTATTCATTCATAAAATGAACTAAGTCACTAACACACAAAATAACAAAGACAAAGCTCAAAGTAACTGTTACATTAAAGAAGCAAGACTAAGTCTATGCATCCAATCTTGTCTGACCTCAGAAGCTAAGTAGGGTTCGGCATGGTTAGTACTTGGATGGGAAGAAGAAAAACCAAAAACAATGAATACATGGGGGCTGAGGGAGTAGCTCAGTGGCAGACTGCTTGCCTGGCACACGAGAGGCCCTGAGTTCAATCACCAGCACTGCCAGGAAAAAGGAAAAACAGCACATACATCCCAAAGGTGTGCAAATCACAACAAAGAAACACAAGAAATACAAAAAAGGCAACACAACTCCTCTAAAAATTTCTAACATTTCAATAATTGAACCCAAAGATATTCAAATGGTTGAAATGTCATGCAAAGAATTTTAAAGTTTCTTTTAAAAATAATCAATGACCTCAAAAAGGATTCAAATAAACAGCTGAATGAAATAAAGAAGTCAACTTAAGACACGGATGAGAAATTCAGCAAAGGGATGGAGATTCTGGGAGAGAAAAAAAGGACAGAAATCTTATAGTCTCAATAAATCAAATTAAAACCTCAATGGAAATCATCACCAATAGACTATACCATGCAAAAGAAAGAATATCAGGTATTGGGGACAAGGCTGAAAAATTATTACACAAAATAACAGCAAAGAAACAAAAAAAGGAGGGGGATCATAACTGCAACTAAGAAAACAACCTTACATATCTGTGATATAGAACTAGGAACTGAGACACAGACTAAAGGCATAGAAAATTTATGCAATAGTAGTAGAAAATTTCCTAAACCTAGAAAGAATTGGCTATTCAAGTACACAAGACATTTAGAACCCAAATAAACATTACCAAAAGAAAAACCTCTCCACAGCACATTATAGTTAAAAATGCCAAGAAGAGAATAAAGAACCTGAAAGCTTCAAGAAAGAAGCAGTAAGTTACATACAAAGGCCAACCTATCAGAATGAACAGCAGACCTCTCAGGAGAAACCCTAAAGGCCAGAAAACTATGGCCTGATGTATTTCAAGCCTTGAAACAAAATAACTGACAACCAAGATCACTATATCCAGCAAAGTTATCCTTTAAAATTGAAGGTGAAATAAAGATCTGCCAAGATAAGCATAAATGAAAGCTATTCATGACCACTAAGGTAGCATGACATAAGATAGTTAAAGGGAATACTACACACAGATGAGGAAGAAAGATATACACAAAGATGAGAGCTTAGGAAAGAACAAATCTCACTAGAAGAATTGATAAACAAATGAAAATTAGGAAAGAATCAAATATTGTTAATAGAACTGCAAAACTCTACAATGAAGACAGAAGAAATTAGAACATACCTTCAATAATAACCCAAAATATAAAGAGTCGAAATGGATTAAGAAATCATGGTATTTATACACAATGGAATTCTACTCAGCCATGAAGAAGAATGAAATCTTATTATTCACAAGTAAATAGATGGAACTGGAGAACATGATTCTGAGTGAAGTTAGCCAGGCTCAGAAGACCAAAAATTGTATGTTCTCCCTCATATGCGGACTTTAGATCTAGGGCAAATACAGCAATGTGATTGGACTTGGGTCACATGATAAGGCGAGAGCACACACGGGAGGTATGGGGATAGGTAAAAAACCTATCCCCATTGGTATCCTCAATGCAGAGGAACTAATACAGAAACTTTAAAGTGACAGAGGTCAACAGGAGAAGGGGATCAGGAACTAGAGAAAAGGTTAGTTCGAGAAGAATCAATTAGAATGTAATAACATATATGTACATGGAAGCAATGCTAGGAATTTCCCTGTAAAGCTATCCTTATCTCAACTAGCAAAATGCCTTGTCTTTCTTATTATTGTTTATATTCTCTCTTCAACAAAATCAGAGATAAGGGCAGAACAGTTTCTGCCTGGAAGCGAGGAGGTGGGGAGGAGAGGGAGGAGACGGGAGGGTTAGGGGGAGAAATGGCCCAAACATTGTATGCACATATGAATAAATGAAAAAAAAAAGAGTCATAACTCTCCAGTTAACAGACACATACTGCCTGAATGGATTTTAAAAAATAGTAATAATAAGATCCAACAGTTTGCTGTCTGCAAGAAGCTCCTCTCACTGGCAAAAAAAACGTAACAGAAAGTGAAAGGATGGAAAATTATCTTCCAAGCAAAAACTGACAAATGGGATTTATCAAATTACAAAGCTTCTCATAGGAAAGGAAACAATTACCAAAGTGAACAGACAGCCTACAAAATAGAAAAACATCTTTGCCAGATATTCTTCCAATAGGACATTAATATCCAGGACATATAAAGAATTTAAGAAAGTAAATTTCAAAAGAACAAATAATCTAATCGATTAAGGAGCACATGAACTAAACAAGCAGCTTTCAACAGTAATGGTACAGATGGCCTACAAAAAAAGTTCAACATCTTTAACCACCAGAGAAATACAAATCAAAACTACACTGAGATTCCATTTCACCGCTATCAGAATGGCTATCACCAAGAAAACAAGAAACATGGATGCTGGGGATGCAGCTCAGTAGTAGAGCACTTGCTTAGCACCCACAAAGCACAAATTTTGATTCCCAGCACTGTCAAAAAAAAAAAAAAAAAAAGAGAGAGAGAGATGTTGGTGTGGATGTGGGCAAGAAAGAAACCCTTGAGCACTGTTGGTAGGAATGTAAATTAGTCAAGACACTATGGAAACCAGTATGGAGATTCCTCAAAAAACTATAACTACAGCTATCACATGCTCAAACAACACCACTCCTGGGTATACACCAAAATCATCAAACTCAACATACAATAGAGATACCTGCAAAAACTCATGTTTACTGTGGCAATATTCCCAATAATTACATTATGAAATCAGTCTAGGGTGCCCATCAATTAATGAATGGATTAACAAAATGTGAGATATATCATACATATATCTGTATATATGTATATATCATAGAGAAAAGATATATATATATCTTTATATATATATATACAGAGAGAGAGAGAGAGAGAGAGAGAATGGAGTTTTATTCTGCCATATAGAACAAAATATTGTTGTTTGCAGGAAAATGGATGGAACTGGAGATCATCATTTTAAGTGAAATAAGCTAGACTCATTGCAAGTTTTCTCTCATATGTGTAATCTGGATTTTAAAAAGGTATTAAAATAGAAGTGGGACTATTTTGGAAGAGTAAAGGAACCAACAGGGGAGGAGCATAACTGGGGAGAGTAAACATAATCAAAGTACAATATAAACATGTAATAATGAAACCCATTATTTTGTACAACTAATATGTGCTATTAGAAAAAGAAATCTTTAGATAGTGGGCTACCCTATATCCTATTATATATGAAAGGAAAGAAGAGTATCTCTTCTCAATATGACTTCCAATCCCCATGCTAATCAACATTAACACCTTAATACAAACTTCCAGGTTTTTTTAATGTGTTTCTTTATACTAGACCATATGAAAATCATATAAAAAGTTTTGAGCATCTTTGTTTCTGACTCAGAATATACTGTTTAAATTTTAGAAAAGGTAATTCTCAAGTTACCCAAACTACCTGAAAACACTTACAGAAAGTTCTGGAATCCAAGTATCAAGTTTGTGTCTCTCACTGTA